AATAAAAATTCTTCAATCTGATAGATCAACAAAAATGGATGAATGGTGTAGAAGTATCGATACTGTAGATATGAATGGTGTAGAAGTATCGATACTGTAGATAAGAATTGACTAGGCACGAGGAATTGCTCATGACAGTGTTCTCATGCACGAAATGTGGTGTATGGGTCGTCTTGTTTCTTCAAGGGCTTTCAAATTCTCGATTTTTTTCTTCTTCCATCTATTTCATCTATACAGACACCAACACTTTCGAAAAACAAGATCACCATTAAACGACTTCAATCTCTATTCACTGTATGAGAAATTACTGATACAAAAATTCAATATCGTAGGGTGTGGGTGTGTCTGTCTGTGTATTGGATTAATATCCACACGCACACCCCCCACCTCACTCCACACCCTAATTGCAAAGCGTTTTGCTAGCTTTTGAGTGTTAATCTATATGCAATCTCACCCTCAAGATAACCACCCTCACACATTCGATTTTATTCGTAATTTCCACATGAAGTTACATGTTTGAATTTCTAATTTGAGCATTATTGGATTAGAACATGTTTTAACTCGCAGACCATCCACGTAAATTTCAATCTGAAGGGTTATCTGCATAGAAATTGATTGATATACTGCCAAAGAGAGAATCTTCAAAAGCCATCAATTGTTGCAAGAAACCAGGGTTAGGAGATACGTTTTTTCGAGCGCTAACCAATAATTCATAAGATTCTCGAAGATTTCTTTCTTTCTTGTGCATCAAATATGCTAGAACAAAAGAAGGAGATCGACTGACTCCCACATGGCAATGAATAAGACATGCTGCATTGGGTGAAGCCTACAATTAATAAGAAAAGGTGACGATCGACTCTCTGAAAACGCCAAACCGACAGATATTTCATACTTGATCAATAAAGTTGAACACTTGTTCGAACAAAGGTAAGATATCTTGAGAAGAAGAATCTTTGACAGGACATTGGAGGTAAATGAAAGAATTCGGATGCAAATTTGGAGAATCAGTAAGGTTTAGAATGTACCTGCAAATGAACGTAACTTTATATAAAACACGACTGTCAGAACTTACTTGATGCCAATTTTTAGAAGTTCCTCTTTGTTGTGAGTGCATGAATAAGAGCCAAGAAATAGATGAGGTAAAATCTGAGAAGGGGATTCCCAATTTGACGCCATCAGTACAAAAGAAATACTAAAAAGGATGTAAAAAACAAAGTTATGAAAAAGAAGTGAGTGTTGAAGAACTTGTAGTGTGGTGAAAAGCGAGAAGATTTACAAAGAAAAAGCTTATAATAATTATTATTTGTAAGTAAGTTTGTGGAAGGCAGGGTGTAAAAGAGTCAGAAATTATTATAATGACGAGGCTCTTATGAAGAAGACAAGACTCTGTGAAGCACACTCAGTTTCAATAAACATACGGTATTTTCTAACCGATAAGTAAAAAATAAAATAAAATATGCATACTTTACTTTAGTGAGTAAAGTAAAATATGTACTCTACTTTACGTATTACAAGGTATTGCTGCAGCCAAACACGTCAATAACACAAATAATACTGTAGTCTACCATTTATTATCACATTAGTTTATTCGGATCGTGTCTTCTAAAAGAGGTCTATTACATCCTGATAAAAGAGCAATCAAATTCCTATATTTTATTGAGATATTGAATCGATTGTCTAGATTTCAATCAGATTTTCAGGTGAAACTGATTTAAAGATTCATCAAATATATGTTCTCGAAAATAAAAATCTTAATATCTCACTTATATTAGATCAGAATACAAAGGCGATAAATTGCTAAAAAGTAGTCCCGATATCTGAAAAGAAACAACACAAGTTCATCATGATCAAGAGAATCAAAAAATCAAAATATTCTTATTTCAAGTGCTTCGCTAGTCACAAAGAAAACAAGTATATGATTTGATTCTCAGAAGTTCGGTGAACCTTCAATCCAATATTCAGTATCGGTTCAATCGACGCGTTTCTTGCAACTGTCGTGCGTTGTGATTATTTAGTAACATACATAAACGATCTGCTGACTTGTTCATCTTAGGATCGTGCAATTGTACGTTTGGACTATGTTTTTAATTTGATTTCATGTCAAAAAAAATCAACCACATGTATGCTTTTCGAGTGTGTTTAAACTGTGCATATGTACATATTTACAGGCTGACAAAATAGCTTAATTCGTAATGAATCGACACATCAAAATGTACTATTCGCTTGAATGAACGTAACCGACATCTCGGAAGTGAAGCATCGAAGACACACGATGCGATGAAAACAAACAACTGTTCAGAGATAAAATAACAAATATTCGATAAAATTATGATTATTATCGAATCCATAATCGAATAATATTATCTTATTGAGAGATTTTCATCGTAGGCAATTGAAGTAAGAGTTGTTCTTGCAAATCCACTAACACAATCCATCTTCCGTCGATCGTTTACATCAATGGAACCTGCCATTGTGACATCGAATATTTAATACTCGAAGATGAATCATTGTCTGAATAAGATCAAGT